TTTTTATACTATTAATAATTAAAATTTTTCTTTTTAATATTTGAATAAGTGTTATTTTTTATGTCGCTGTTATAGCACAATTTAGTCAAGATCAAAGTCATTCTTTCAATATAATTACGGTATTTTTACTGAGAGTATTCATTGTAGCAAATTTTATACAAAAACAAAACAGATTTGTTTTTTCAAAATTCATTTTTGTGCTTTTCAATCTCATAATTTAATTTTATACCAAAAATGAAATTTGAAAAAACAAATCTGTTTATTTAACTGGCCTCAACTAATATTTAAATAAAAAATAATACTAGTCCTTAACCGAATGCAGCTTAAACTCATCAACAGCAGCAGTTATCACAAACGAAAATCGAAAAAAATAAAAATATAACAAAATAAATTCATTTAAACACGTAACACTAAAACCAGTTGACGATAAAAATGTTTGTATGAAAACAAAAACTTGTTAAAAACAATAAATAACTAAATAACACGCATACATATACACAAAAGCATGCATGTGAGTGTATGTGTGCAAGTCAACTCATCCTACTTGGAGGCAGCGGCGGTAATGTGAATTAAAGTAAAGTACATCGAAAACAACGCACAAAAACAACAACTTAATTACAATATTTGCGTCAGCCAAAGAGATGGCGGCTATGCATGGCATGTTGTTGTAGTCATTATCGTTGTTGCGCATATTTATTTATTACTAAACCTCATATGTATGTATATTTGTTAAGGCAAAGTAAAGTTATGCTGCATTTTTCTTCATTGTTGTTTTTGCATTGTTGCTTACCTTTTCGTTGCGCGTTAAAAATTCCCAAATCGGTATCGCCGAGCCGCAACACATTTGCATGGAAACGCTTAAGATGAGGCATGTTGCAATTACTTTCGCTGCAGCGCGCTTGTTGTTGTTGTTAAGGTTACTCATTGTTGTTTTCACGTCGCTATGCTGGTTGTCTTTATGAGTGTGTGTGTAGTTATATTTATTTTTTATTACTTTTTAAATTTATTTTCGTGTGTTTCGCGTTGGACGCCAATAAATAATGTCAAAAAGCGCGACTTAAAAAAAAAAAAGTACTTGAGTTGTATAACACCGAAAAGCAGATGCGACAAAGCGCTGGTTTGATTGCTTTATGGTTTTACTTGAATTTTTTTTAATTAATTATTTTTTCTCTAATTTATTTTTTAAGTTTTTTTCGAATGTACATTTTTTTTTATTTCCAATTCAATTTTATTATTTTCAATTTTTATTTTTAATTTTTACTTGTTTATCAATTTTCATTTTTTTCGAATGTTAAAATATTTTTTATTTCGAATTAAATTTTATTATTTTCCGCTTTGCGCCCGCATTCGCACAATTTCACTACAATGGCGCGACTGACTTTCTTTTTCAGCGGCCTGTGCGCGCTCGTTCGTACGCTCGATTTGCTGCGCTGCGCTGGTGTTTGCTGGCGTTTTGCCACTCCGCGTGGCTGCTTGCACAATCGCTTGAAGCGTTATATCCGGCGCACAACTAATATGTACACCTTTGTGGATAAGACGTCGGCGTACACGCGTTCAGCCGGATGACGGCAGCGACGTGAGTTCAACGTCTAACGATTGAAATGCGCAAGGTTTGACCTCTGCGCACGACTGGACCGACTGTTGATTGGCCTCTCTAAGCGCCCAGTTCCGTCTTGCGAAACACTTTCTACGGTTTTCTTTTCGCTTGATTTTGCCCAGCTTCACTCCTCCTCAACGCGACGACTGCAAATCGATTTCGGGGCTTTTAACTGTGGCGAAGAAGACTCAGCGGATAAGCTTGTAGACACGGTAGACAAGTTATGTAGGAAATTGTGTGAAGAAAAAAACATACGAAATGTTCCAAAAATAACAAGAAAGTGACGTAAATATGCTTAAAATGTGCGTTGTTGTTAGGTAAGTCGTCGCTGCTTCGTGTCGTTTAACGGTTTCGCTATTTCGGCTATTTCAAAAGTGTTCAAACAAATTTGTATTGATTTTGTTTTAAAGTTGTTTTTGTAATTTACACTTTTTTCGCACCTTCGAATTAAACTTTGCGCTTTACAAGCTTGGATATACACACACATACACAAACATATGCATGCCGTGTGCGCTTCCGTTATGAGTTTGATAAAAGTCGATTTTCCGTTTCAATAATTTTACTTTTCACCACTTTTCTATGCAACAGACCAGCAATATTTGTTAACTACAGTTTTTTTTATTAAAAAAAAAAACAATTTTTTTTTGTGCTTTTCTGGGGGCGTCAAGTACACAGCACTTTCTGCTTCGACACGTCTGTAGACTCGTTTTGAAATGCGGTCTCTCGCGCCGCGAAGGCAGGTATTTATACTTTAAGCGCTGGCGCTGGCATTTGGTAAGCTCAACGTGTGAGGCGCATGTGAAAGAGCAGCTGGCAAGAGAACATGCTTGGTGGAAACTCGTCGCAAGCACGGCAAGCGCACAAACAACGTAACAGACTACTAGTAGCTTCCAAATTCGCACAGTTAGACAGCAGACAGAGTAGTTGTCAGATAAAAACACACATGTATGTGTGTGTGTGTGTGTAAATATGTGTGCAGTTTGGTATGCGGAGAACATCATCGGCTCGCTAGTTCCCGATCTAGTGAGTCAGCAGTCGCCAGTAGGCGCTCATCAGTTGCCATTACGGGAGAGCAACTAAGCCGGGCACATTTGGAGTGAGTGGCTAATGGCGCTGCAGTAAGCCTGAAAACAAAATGCGGGGAGTGGGTAAAGACAGCAAGTTTCGCTCATCCACTTTGGCTGGAATGCCTGTTGCTGTTTACTCGCTGCAATTGTTCCCGCTGTGTTGGACGTTGCATGGCAGCGACGGGTTGGTGGCGCATGTTGCAATGTGGCATGCTAGACGAAAAAGTCGTTCAACTTCACCGAGACCTTAGTCACATTTTCATACTTGTCGAGTGACGTTGCAGTTTGTTGTTGTTTTTGTTGTTGCATTTCAATAGCAACGAGTAAACGTTGACATTCTAGGTGACTGCATTGACGGCGGCGATGCGATGATCGATGCGCGACTTCGACATGCAAAAAATTAATTAACTAAAATTTGAAATCGAATTGAAGAACACATTGTTATGAATGTTATGTTATGAATAAATATTTTTTGGCGTAAAAAACCAATTTTCTCTCATTAACATAACAAAGGCAGGTATTAAAAAAGGCTTATAAAGTAAAACGTGCAGTACGAAAAAAAAAATTCAAATTGCAAATAACACGGTAAAAAAATTTAAAATGAAACAAAAAAAAAAAAATAATAATAAAACAAAAATACAAAACAAAAAGAATAAAAAAAAAATTCAATAAATTAAGTTTACATTGAAATTACAAAAAGAAAATCAAAAAAATAAGTAAGGAAGTGCTAAGTTCGGGTATAGTCCAAAATGTCATGTTTTTGTAACTTGCAAGGATTAAGCCAGGGAAGTATCGTTAAGTACAAAAGGTCTGTTACTTATGTGGTGATTTTACCCAATTTTATTCACACTTAGCATAAATATGTCCGGAAAGTAATAGGACTGAGTGGATTTGAAAAATTTATTGAAACAATTGTTATAACTCTTTAAAAGCTTTTAAAATAGGCTCTTTCTGGATCGATGCAGCGCTACCAGCGCGATTTCCAAGCATCTAATTTGTCGCGGAAGTCATTCTCCGGAATAACCTTGAGAGCCTAGGCGCACACTGCTTGGAACCCCTCTGCCGGCATATGTCACTCGGAAGATTGTCTCTTTGTCTCGGGATCATACCCAAAGATCCATGACTCGTCACCTATGAATACGTTATTCAAAAATTGGTGGTCACTCTCACACATGTTTACATTTTCTTGGCACACTTCCACTCAATGCAATTTCTGGTCGTCAGTGAGCACATTTGGGTCCATTAAATTTGGGACAATATACTTCTTCCTTTTTATTGGCGTAGATACCGCTTACGCGGTTGTAACTGAGTTAAGAACAGCGCGCCAGTCGTTCTTCCTTTTTGCTGTTTGACGCCGTTCGGAGATTCCAAGTGTAGCCGGGTCCTTCCCTACCAGGTCATTCCAGCGAAGTGGAGGTCTTCCTCTATTTCCCCCGCCGGGTACTGCGTGAAATTTGTTCAGAGTTGGAGTGTTTTCGTCCATTCGAGCAATATACTACTATGAAAAATTGTAAGACTTTGTTCATAATTGTAAAATTATTAATTTATTATTCAAAATCTATGTCGGCCCCTTTGACCCCAATACACTTGCGCCAACGGTTTTTCCAATCTCAGAAATAGTTCTTAAAGTTAGTTTTCGGAATAGTCTTCAATGCGCGTTGCGTTTCAAGTTAATGTCTTCAATTGACTCAAAACGGATTCCTCGGAGCAGACGTTTCAGTTCGTTGAATAGTCAGAAGTCACATGAAGTTAAATCAGGCGAATATGGTGGTTGTGGCACATACTTCCCGCCTCTTTTTATACTCTCGCAACAAAGTTGCTAAGGAGAGTATTATAGTTTTGTTCACATAACGGTTGTTTGTAAGTCCTAAAACTAAAAGAGTCAGATATAGGGTTATATATACCAAAGTGATCAGGGTGACGAGTAGAGTTGAAATCCGGATGTCTGCCCACTGCCACGCGCACAAAATGGAAAAGTATTCGTTTTTGTACATATCTCGGAAACTACTATAGCTATGTCAACCAAACTCTATAGAGTTGTTTCCTTCAGGCATTTCCATATATAGTTCAAACTGGGAGGAGTCCGATAATAACAACGCCCACCTCCCATACAAAGGTTATGTTGATAATCAGTAAAAGTGCGTTAACCGACTAACAAAAAACGTCAGAAATACTAAATTTTACGGAAGAAATGGCAGAAGGAAGCTGCTCCCAGGCTTTTTTTAAAAATTGAAAATGGGCGTGGCGTCGGGAATTCCATCTGATGCCTTCTCTGTATAATACGAGTATATATATTAGGAACCAATGATGATAGCGGAATAAAACTTTACACAAATACGGTATTTGAGCTGAGGTATCCCCTGTGGAAAAATTATCGTGATCGGACTAAAACTTTTCAATACAATTGAAATAAATGAAAATACAATTCAATACTCAAAGTACATAAATTAATCAAATCTAATTAATTTTACAGCAAAATAAAAATATATGTAAATGACGCATAATGAAATATCGATTATCACTTTATCATGCGAGAGTATAAAATGTTCGGTGATACCCGAAGTTAGCCCTTCCTTACTTGTTAAGAATAACTTCGCGCAAACGACGCATAACACTAAAAAGGAATACTATTTGACAGTTCGGTCGGTCGGAAGCAATTCGGAGAGCACCACGCTTCGATAATCGAAGAAACCTGTCAACATTTACTTTGATTTTTGATCTGCTTTGACATGGTTTTTCGGCTTCGGCTATCTGTTTCCGGGTCTCAAAGCATAGACTCAAAACTCATCGCCAATAATAATGCCTTTCATGACATCTTGGTAGTCGAAAAGTATTATTTCACTGACGTAAACCAGACGCTGTTTTTTTTAGAAAAAATTAGTGATTTTGGAACCAATCGTGCTTTCAATATACTTACGCCCAAATTATCTTTCAAAATGGTTTCCACTGATCCTTCCGATACTCGTATTCCAACGATACCGGTAAGATCTCTGACTGTTAATCCTCGATTCTCAAGCACCAATTCTTTTTTTTTTATTGACGTGTTAATCATCAGTTGATGTTGATAGCCGTCGTGGACATGGTTCGTAGTCAACGCGTTCTCGACTCTCTTTGAACAAATTGTGCCAATCAAACACACTTGCTCGCGGCAAACAAGTATCACCGAAGGCCATTTTCAGCATTCTGAAAATTTCAGCACCAAAAATTCGATTCCGCACACAAAATTAAAATGAACTTCAATTTTTGGTATAAACATTTGTATTTAGAACATTTTGTAATATTGTATATTATTTTTGATCTCATGGGGGAGATCTCATGGGATCTCATGGGAGATCAAAAATATAAGTCAAATTATGGTTTTGTTATCAAATTTGCTTAATATTTACTAAAATAGATTGCAAATAAAATGTATTTAACAAAAAAAAAACAAAAAAAAAAAAGTTTTTGGTCATAAGGTGGCATACTCTAAAGGCATTATTCGTGCAATGTTTTAACCCTACTAATCGCTTCTTGATTTGCACACTCGAAAGGAAAAATTGG